AATGTCCCTGTCTCTAGTAGCCCTTCTATATCATCTTCATGAGATATCAATGTGGGTAAGGATATTAGGTATAATGTCCCTGTCTCTAGTAGCCCTTCTATATCATCTTCATGAGATATCCTTGTGGGTAAGGATATTAGGTATAATGTCCCTGTCTCTAGTAGCCCTTCTATATCATCTTCATGAGATATCCTTGTGGGTAAGGATAGTTGGTATAATGTCCCTGTCTCTAGTAGCCCTTCTATATCATCTTCATGAGATATCCTTGTGGGTAAGGATAGTAGGTATAATGTCCCTGTCTCTAGTAGCCCTTCTATATCATCTTCATGATATATCCTTAAAGAGTCTTGACTAGCTCTTACTTGATAGTGCGAGACTACCGTTGTTTTGTTTTTTTTTCTTTTTTTTTTCTTGACATTGCTAAGCTAGTTCTTTTTTGACAGTGCTATGCTAGTTCTTGGTTGACAATGCTATGCTAGTTTTTAGATGACAGTGCTATGCTGGTTCTTGGTTGACAATGCTATGCTAGTTTTTAGATGACAGTGCTATGCTGGTTCTTGGTTGACAATGCTATGCTAGTTTTTAGATGACAGTGCTATGCTGGTTCTTGGTTGACAATGCTATGCTAGTTTTTAGATGGCAGTGCTATGCTGGTTCTTGGTTGGCATTGCAAGGCTGGTTATTCATTAACAGCGCTAAGCTAGTTCTTTTTCTTTTTTCAGTGCTATGCTAGTTCTTGGTTGACAGTGCTATGCTAGTTCTTGGTTGACAGTGCTATGCTAGTTCTTGGTTAACTGGTTGACAGTGCTATGCTAGTTCTTGGTTGACAGTGCAAGTCTGGTTCTTGGTTGACAGTGCTATGCTGGTTCTTGGTTGACAGTGCTATGCTGGTTCTTGGTTGACAGTGCTATGCTAGTTCTTGGTTGACAGTGCTATGTTAGTTCTTGGTTGACAGTGCTAGACTGGTTCTTGGTTGATATTGCTTTGCTAGTTCTTGGTTGACACTGATAGGCTTGTTCTTTTCCTTGGCTGACAAATCTAAGCTAGGTCCTGCTTAGCAGTGCCAGACCAGTTCTTGGTTGCCAGTGTTAGGCACATTGCCTCTTGATAGTGCCAGACACATTCCTACGTGACAGCATCAGAAATGTTCCTGCTTGGCAGTACCAGGCTGGAAATGTCTAATTCGGAGAAACTGTTAAAATAAACCATTTTTGGAATCGAAGTAAATCACATTTGAATATGTATACATGAATAGCCACAGTCAGAAAACTGTAAAACTGGTTTATCGGTTGTTGAATACGTTGAATATGTTTGTATTGATTAGGGTGGCTCTCTTTTGTGATTTTCAAAACTGATTTATGTGAATGTATTTGTGTTAATACATTTGTGTAAGGGAGAGAGAGAAGGGGGGGGGGGAGAGATTATTGCAGTTCCTTGGCTCTCAAGCAGACGCAGTCAAGGGCTCATAAGAAGAAGAAGGAGGAGGAGAAGTAAGAGTAGAGGAAAAGAAAGAGGAGAGGAAGAAGAAGGAGGAGGAGGAGAAGAAGAAAGAGGAGGAGGAGGAGAAGACGAACTGTATAAGATGCTGTATTTGGCACTGCTTATATTTACACATTATTTTCTGGTTTATTTTCATTTAGGTTGAACTCATTTATTATATTTTATTATCTTATTTGTTTGCTCTATTTGTCAATTAAACTTTTGGATCTGAACCAAATGCAGCCTACGTACAGCCAGGTCGGTTTTAACTAAAATTAGTACCAATGTAATTAAAAGATATCACATCTGGACCTAGATAACCAATCTTGTCAAATTTATGCAACAGGTTACGGGCTTTTCGTCTAATTCTTGCTGTACAGGATTTTCTTCTTCTTTTACCTTTTACACTTCTGCTTTAGCTCTTAAAAGGCAGTTGTCAGATTGTGTTGTGGTTTTAAGCTGGGCAGTGATATCTCCTCTCTGCCTTACAGCCAAACAACTCTTTCAGCAAACCTCTCATTAGTTTTATATCCTTCCCCCCCCCCCCCCCACCCACCACAAAACAAAAAAACTGAGCCCTGAAACCCACACATGGAATACAGTATTTAATTATATATATCTACATTGAATCATTGGCACATCCACACTGACAATGGCACGTGGCACGTCAACACTGAAGGACTGGCACGTCAACACTCAATTACAGTGATACATCCACACTGAATGACACTGGCACATCCACACTCAGTGACAGTTGCACATTCCACACTGAATGACAATGAAACATTCATATTGAATGTCAGTGGCACATCTACACTGCATGACTGCAGCACATCCACACTGAATGACAGCAGCACATCTACACTGAATGACAGTGACACATCCACACTGAATGACAACAGCACATCCACACTGAATGACAGCAGCACATCTACACTGAATGACAGTGACACATCCACACTGAATGACAACAGCACATCCACACTGAATGACAGTGACACATCCACACTGAATGACAGTGACACATCCACACTGAATGACAACAGCACATCCACACTGAATGACAACAGCACATCCACACTGAATGACAGTGACACATCCACACTGAATGACAACAGCACATCCACACTGAATGACAGTGACACATCCACACTGAATGACAGCAGCACATCCACACTGAATGACAGCAGCACATCCACACTGAATGACAACAGCACATCCACACTGAATGACAGTGACACATCCACACTGAATGACAGTGACACATCCACACTGAATGACAGCAGCACATCCACACTGAATGACAGTGACACACCCACACTGAATTACAGTGACACATCCACACTGAATGACAACAGCACATCCACACTGAATGACAACAGCACATCCACACTGAATGACAACAGCACATCCACACTGAATGACAGCAGCACATCCACACTGAATGACAGCAGCACATCCACACTGAATGACAGTGACACATCCACACTGAATGACAGCAGCACATCCACACTGAATTACAGTGACACATCCACACTGAATGACAACAGCACATCCACACTGAATGACAGCAGCACATCCACACTGAATGACAGCAGCACATCCACACTGAATGACAACAGCACATCCACACTGAATGACAGTGACACATCCACACTGAATGACAGCAGCACATCCACACTGAATGACAGCAGCACATCCACACTGAATGACAGCAGCACATCCACACTGAATGACAGCAGCACATCCACACTGAATGACAACAGCACATCCACACTGAATGACGGTGGTTCATCCACACCGAATGAGAGTGGCACATCCACACTGAATGACAACAGCACATCCACACTGAATGACAGCAGCACATCCACACTGAATGACAGCAGCACATCCACACTGAATGACAACAGCACATCCACACTGAATGACAGTGACACCTCCACACTGAATGACAGCAGCACATCCACACTGAATGACAGTGACACATCCACACTGAATGACAACAGCACATCCACACTGAATGACAGCAGCACATCCACACTGAATGACAGCAGCACATCCACACTGAATGACAGTGACACATCCACACTGAATGACAGCAGCACATCCACACTGAATGACAGTGACACATCCACACTGAATGACAACAGCACATCCACACTGAATGACAGCAGCACATCCACACTGAATGACAGCAGCACATCCACACTGAATGACAGTGACACATCCACACTGAATGACAGTGACACATCCACACTGAATGACAGCAGCACATCCACACTGAATGACAGCGACACATCCACACTGAATGACAACAGCACATCCACACTGAATGACAGCAGCACATCCACACTGAATGACAGCAGCACATCCACACTGAATGACAGTGACACATCCACACTGAATGACAGCAGCACATCCACACTGAATTACAGTGACACATCCACACTGAATGACAACAGCACATCCACACTGAATGACAGCAGCACATCCACACTGAATGACAGCAGCACATCCACACTGAATGACAACAGCACATCCACACTGAATGACAGTGACACATCCACACTGAATGACAGCAGCACATCCACACTGAATGACAGCAGCACATCCACACTGAATGACAGCAGCACATCCACACTGAATGACAACAGCACATCCACACTGAATGACGGTGGTTCATCCACACCGAATGAGAGTGTCACATCCACACTGAATGACAACAGCACATCCACACTGAATGACAGCAGCACATCCACACTGAATGACAGCAGCACATCCACACTGAATGACAACAGCACATCCACGCTGAATGACAGCAGCACATCCACACTGAATGACAGCAGCACATCCACGCTGAATGACAGCAGCACATCCACACTGAATGACAGTAACACATCCACACTGAATGACAGCAGCACATCCACACTGAATGACAGCAGCACATCCACACTGAATGACGGTGGTTCATCCACACTCAATGACAGCAGCACATCCACACTGAATGACAACAGCACATCCACACTGAATGACAGCAGCACATCCACACTGAATGAGAGTGGCACATCCACACTCAATGACAGTGGCCAGTAACCACCAAACCCAATATTTTAATGATCCTCGAGTATGAGGGTTCTGTTGTGCTGTGGACATTTGTGTGTCTTGTGACAAGAAGAGTTCTCAATGATTTTCAGACAGTAGAACAAGTGTCATACTATGGAAGCTGGGTAATCAATCGTCAGTCTGGTTAACAAATGCTCGATGAAATTAGATGTGTCAGCCGAAAGGCCCAAATATTGCAGCTTTGCTGTAAACGTGCACAATGCAGTTGCATCACTCAGATGAACAAAAGGAAGATATGAGGGCATAGATTGGATTCTCACCATATGCTGTCCTTTAGAAGTAGTATACCCATGAGTTAAGTATTGTCATCCTTAACTCCCTCAGACTTTTAGCTAGGAACCCATGGGTCTAAAAGCGTTAATTTTCTTTGTAACACAGACCAACATTGATGTCTGCAGATTTCTCAGTTCTTATGTACCCTGGAACGCGATCTCGAAGAGGGAACAGGTGGGCGACTGGATTCCATCCTGGGACAGTGCATGTATTTTGGTCTGTCGTTCAGTCGGGTCGGGGCTGATTTCCGAGGCCTGCTGGCCCCGGTGTTTGAAAGAGCTGTCCTGAGATACTTCAGCTGTGCTCTGAGGGAGGCCAATAAAAAGTAAGTGGTGAACTTGTAGCGGGACAGTGGGTTCAGAGATTGAACTTCTTCTTCGTGTACTTAGTGCTCACTGGCTGTAAACTTTGGTGGAGAATTATGGTTGTTTGTCCATTTCTGGGCTTTTTTTTTTTTTATGAACTTGAGTTCAGAGGTTTTACAGAGGTTTGAGGTTTGAACGATGGATCAACATCATGGCACACGGGTAGTAGTATCCATAAGTGCTCTGTTCTTCTTCTAACCCAAATTTGAGTCCGAAAAAGCTCAGCTCAGTGCACTGCCACTGTAGCACCGGCGAGGATCCTGAAAATACTTTTGGGTAGATTTTTAACTCAAAATTTTGCCCAGGCAGTGACATTAGGCAACTCTTTTTGATTTACAACTGCCAAAGGATTTGTTTACTTGCCCAATAACGCACACAGCGTTTCTCACTACCAAGAGACCAGGAGAATTACAAGAAGTCTAAGTCCACGTGAAGAATTCCAGCCCTAACCAGGGATTGAACCTGGAACCTCTAGCACTTGAGCGAGACACCATGCTTCGAGATCATGCAGCTCCCCACATGTTTTACAGATTTTGCTTATATGTGTGTAGGCAGATGGACTCTGACTTTGAAGAAACCACCTTACTTTTTTGCCCTGTGCATATGTAACTCGGCCTCTTTCTCTCTTTCTCTTTGTCTCCACCTCTCCATGGCAGTAGTTCTATAATCTCTATCTCATTCCCTCCCTCTGCCAATAGTTCTGTCTCTCTTGATTTGTGTCTCTACCTCTCAGTCACCAGCTCTATCTCTTTTTCTTCCCTACAGTGTAGACCTGATAAAGAGGACCAGGGACCCCAAAAATAGTTCTTATCAGAAATTCCTCTTATCCAGATAAGAGTTCAAGCTTATGATAATTGTCGAGGGATAAACAAATTATTCTTCTCAGCCGAAATTCACCACAATTGAAATCATATTAAGCAGTCTACATTGTACCCCTCTCCACACCCTTTCTCTCTTTTTGACTCTTTATCTCCCTTTCTCTGCTTCTCTCGCTCTCCCCTTCTCTCTCTCTCTCTCTTTCTCTCTCTCTCTCTTTTTTTTTTTCCCTCACTCACACATAAATATTTAAATCATTTGTCTGTTTAATATGCATCCATTTTTCAGCAACCTTTTAGACCTGAAATAACAAACATGTTATTCTTTGTCAGGTTTGAAGAGAACATGCAATCCTTCAATTTGCTGGGCTTGACATCCTCAGGGAGTCTGACTTTAGGCTTAGCATCTTCTCAAGTAAGTAGGCTCAGGCAAGACCCACAGATACATCAGTATAAGATTCCTAAACTTGTTTTTCTAATAACCATGTTTTGAAAATGCAGAATTTTATAGTATGGAATTAGTGCATAGTTCACCCCTAATTTGTACAGCACTGTACCTAAATCCGCCTGTGGAAGATTTTTACATAACAGGAAACAACTCATCCCAGGGTGTAAATATATATATATATATATATATATATATATATATATATATATATATATATATATATATATATATATATATATATATATATATATATATATATATATGTATATGTATATATATATGTATAACATACTTGGTTAAAGATATCAAAATGGAGATATATAGTAAGAGCCAATCACTGCTTATATTTCAAATGTCTAATATATCTCCATTTTGATATCTTAGACAATTGAAATATAAGCAGTGATTGGCTCTAACTATATATCTCCATTTTGATATCTTAGACAATTGAAATATAAGCAGTGATTGGCTCTAACTATATATCTCCATTTTGATATCTTAGACAATTGAAATATAAGCAGTGATTGGCTCTAACTATATATCTCCATTTTGATATCTTAGACAATTGAAATATAAGCAGTGATTGGCTCTCACTATATATCTCCATTTTGATATCTTAGACAATTGAAATATAAGCAGTGATTGGCTCTAACTATATATCTCCATTTTGATATCTTAGACAATTGAAATATAAGCAGTGATTGGCTCTCACTATATATCTCCATTTTGATATCTTAGACAATTGAAATATAAGCAGTGATTGGCTCTCACTATATATCTCCATTTTGATATCTTAGACAATTGAAATATAAGCAGTGATTGGCTCTTACTATATATCTCCATTTTGATATCTTAGACAATTGAAATATAAGCAGTGATTGGCTCTTACTATATATCTCCATTTTGATATCTTAGACAATTGAAATATAAGCAGTGATTGGCTCTAACTATATATCTCCATTTTGATATCTTAGACAATTGAAATATAAGCAGTGATTGGCTCTTACTATATATCTCCATTTTGATATCTTAGACAATTGAAATATAAGCAGTGATTGGCTCTAACTATATATCTCCATTTTGATATCTTAGACAATTGAAATATAAGCAGTGATTGGCTCTTACTATGGCTCACTCTAAAACTTTCTAAAAACTACATGTAGTAGCATATTTATAGCACTCATTTCTCTTGTAAAAATTTGTAAGGCATTACATTCATTTTCCAAGAATCTTTTCTTCTCTTCTTCACATTCACAGGTTGTAAACTCTGGCGGAAGTTGATCCATTTCTGGACTTGAGTCTCGTTCCAGAACTTAAGTTTTGTGTTTGAACTTGTTCCAGAAGCTACGTTTTGTGTGCACCCAGGTTTTACAGATTTGGCTTATTTGTATGCAAAACTGCTGTTTTCTCGCTTCTCAGAAAATACCCAAAGGGCACTAACTACCCGGTACCTCTGAATTGATGCTTGCCACTCTGCACAGAGAAATGTATCCTGAAGTGGCATGTTCAGAAATATGTCAGACATTGAAGTGAATAACATGACATGACATTATTCAACTACAGTATCTGCTGGTTACAGGAATCATATATTGATAAAGTAATACATTCACTGTCAGCTGGCTCTAAGATTCATCTATAAGTAATACATTCACTGTCAGCTATCCCTAAGATCATATATAAGTAATACATTCACTGTCAGCTATCCCTAAAATAATCTATAAGTAATACATTCACTGTCAGGTATCCCTAAGATCATCTATAAGTAATACATTCACTGTCAGCTATCCCTAAAATAATCTATAAGTAATATATTCACTATCAGCTATCCCTAAGATCATATATAAGTAATACATTCACTGTCAGCTATCCCTAAGATCATCTATAAGTAATACATTCACTATCAGCTATCCCTAAGATCATATATAAGTAATACATTCACTGTCAGCTATCCCTAAGATCATACATAAGTAATACATTCACTGTCAGCTATCCCTAAGATCATATATAAGTAATACATTCACTGTCAGCTATCCCTAAGATCATATATAAGTAATTCATTCACTGTCAGCTATCCCTAAAATAATGTATAAGTAATACATTCACTGTCAGCTATCCCTAAAATAATGTATAAGTAATATAGTCACTGTCATCTATCCCTAAGATCATCTATAAGTAATACATTCACTGTCAGCTATCTCTAAGATCATCTATAAGTAATATATTCACTATCAGCTATCCCTATGATCATATATAAGTAATTCATTCACTGTCAGCTATCCCTAAAATCATATATAAGTAATACATTCGCTATCAGCTATCCCTAAAATAATGTATAAGTAATACATTCACTGTCAGCTATCCCTAAAATAATGTATAAGTAATACATTCACTGTCAGCTATCCCTAAGATCATCTATAAGTAATACATTCACTGTCAGCTATCCCTAAGATCATCTATAAGTAATATATTCACTGTCAGCTATCCCTAAGATCATATATAAATAATACATTCACTGTCAGCTATCCCTAAAATAATCTATAAGTAATATATTCACTGTCAGCTATCCCTAAGATCATATATAAGTAATACATTCACTGTCAGCTATCCCTAAGATCATCTATAAGTAATACATTCACTGTCAGCTATCCCTAAAATAATGTATAAGTAATACATTCACTGTCAGCTATCCCTAATATCATATATAAGTAATACATTCACTGTCAGCTATCCCTAAGATCATATATAAGTAATACATTCACTGTCAGCTATCCCTAAGATCATCTGTAAGTAACAAATTTACTGTCTATTATCTCCTAAATTGAAGAGTTGATTTTTAAAAAAAATATGACATCGTCAACATTAATAACAATAATTTTTCATATACAGCATTAAAAAAAAAAAACACACACACACACGGACAGACGGATAGATAGATAGATATATATAACCTATTTCATTTTACATAATTTCTGTTTCAGAGTGGTCAGCTGTACCCACCCACAACACTGCTGGACTTCTACCCACTTGTGGCCTATTGCAACCATGTGCTGGCTGCCTTCAATGACCTTCGCCTGTGCTCACCTTTGAACTTGGCTTGTAAAATTGCAGATGAGCTGCGGAGGTCACTTTTGGATGTCAATCGAGTCATTTTGGCATTTTACAGGTTTGGATTTTATTAACTTCTCAAAAGAAGTAGTTCTCAACCTATTTCGGATGGCACCCCCAACCCCACCCCTTCCTTGAATATACCACAAGACCCCCATCACCCCATTCCCCCTCCCCCCCCCCCCCCCCATTCTAAACTTCAAACAAAATATGTGGTTTAAAATAGAAGAGGACAAAAAGAAAAAAATCCCAGGCACTGTTAAGAAGAGCTTGGAGGAAAACATTTACATAAATCAGAATGTCAAAAAACTTAAAGAAAGAATCACCAACAATTGGTAATTTAGAGTCCAGAGTCAACTAATTGGGGAGTTTCTTTACAGTCAGAGTGCATCTGCCTGAGTGGAAAGGAACAACTTACTGCAGACAAATGAGCCAGTAAAACGAATGCACACACGAGACTCAGGCCCTGGCACAAAGCCTTCTTCGCGTTCACCAGCTGTAAACTCTGGCGGAAGGTTCTGGTTGCTCGTCCACTACTGAACTGCAGTCCTGCTCCAGAACCTGAGTGTTGCATGTGCATCAGTTTTACAGATCTCATTCTCTTGAATACAGACTGTTGGTTCCTTGCCTCTCCGGCAGATGCTCTCCGACTTCAAAGGAAGCTCCCCAATTAGTCGACTCTTACGACATGCTTTTGTGGAGGCAGTGGATCTATTCTTGTTTTCCCCACAATGGGGCCCCGGAACCCACACGGGGGGGGGGGGGGGGGTGTGGCACAAAGCCAATGACCAGGACCTTCCGCCGGAACTTACAGCGGGTGAACAAGAAAAAAAAGTATGCATTCTAAGTTGGGTCGACCTGGGAGTCAAGGTCAGTTTTAAAGGGGAAAAAACCTTCACTGCAGATTATAAGCCACGGTCTTTTAGTTCGGCAAGTGATTGTTCCGCTTCAAGTGGCAGAAGTGGAAGATAATGACTTCCATGGTGAGCCCAAAGTTGGTGCAAAATTCAGAAAATGCGGAGATACTTTGTTACATATCTCAGAACTAAAATTTAATGTGCAGCCATCTCCAGATAGAAGATTCTTGATTTTGGCCATCTAGCCACCAGCACAATGACAAGCAGAGTTGGCTGTATAAATAAATGGATTCAATTAAATAACATCAGGAGAAAAAATCTGCAAAGTTCGCCTGTAATGTTTCTTGTGTTTTTTTTTCTGTTTCTTTTAGAGCTGAAGAGACGACTTTCAATGCTAAAGAAAAGGACCAGTTTGAGCAGTTCTGTGCGACCTATGCAACTGATCTCCTGCCTTACCTGAACAGATGTATGCAGACTCTGTTTCCGCCGGCACAGTTGGCTCATGCTCTGGGGATATCTCTGACAGAGCTGGCTAAAAGGGTGAGTTTCACAGTTTGGGTTTGTATGTTTCAGAGTCAGATATAATGGTTAAGTTTTGTTATTCAGACATATCTGTGGTGGAGCTGGTTTAAAAAAGTGATTTCATTGTTAGAACATATCCGTGTGTAGTGAGTCATTTTCTCCCCATTAAGTTATGCCCGATAGATGACGTCAGTAATAAATGTAAGGCGAATGTTTGACTGACTGAGATAACACGAGATTTATGTCTTGAGTTTCATGAGAGACATCTGAAAGTCAGGTTTTATGTGAAACATGATTGTTCACGTGAAACCATGAATGTTGACTGGCAGGATTCATGAAAATGTGAATTATCACGGGCCAGACACGACAATTCGTGAGAATGAAATTATCCAGAATATTCGAGAACAGGACAGATCAGAGGGCTATATAATAGCGAAGAAAAGGTTTGTGAGGCAGTCTCGTTTAGGCCAAGGGAAAGGTGTACGTGTGGAAAGTTTGGAAGAATGTTGTCGTCTGAATCGCGTGATTTCCCAATGCCTACCTGGCATAAAATAGCGGCTGACGGAAACGGTGGCCAGCTGTGAATGACTGTCGTTCTGGATGGAGGGAGCTACTGTGTTTTCTATGAATTGTGTTTCTATTCTACGATGTTACAAAGGTATGATTGACTGTTTAGATCATTGATTAAGAGTGCTACGGTTGTACATGAACATTTACTGACTGCAACAACAGCGAGTGAAAATAAACAGTACGTGTAACTTCTGAACGTCTGCCAGCGTCCATGTTTTCTCGTTCTCGTCAGTTGGTGAATGGAAAGATGCGGTGACTCATTCGAGCCAGCAATTAATAACAATGAAGATCACTGCACCGTGACAGAGCTGGGTAGAAAGTGATTTCATTGTTAAGACATATCTGTGACAGAGCTGGGTAAAAAAGGGGATTTTTGTAGTTCAGGCATATCTGTGATGGAGCTGGGTAGCAAATGATTTCACTGTTAGGACATATTTGTGGCGGAGCTGGGTAGAAAGTGATTTCATTGTTAGATCATTTAGGACATATCTGTGACGAGCTGGGTAGAAAGTTATTTCATTGTTTGAACATACCTGTTCCGGAGCTGGGTAAAAAGGTGTTTCATTTTTATGATATATCTGTGACGAAGCTGGGTGCAAAAGTGATTTAATTGTCGACTTATCTGTGATAGAGCTGGGTATAAAAGTGATTTTTGCTGTTTGGGTACATCTGTAAGGGAGCTGGCTAAAAAGGGGAGTTTTGTTGTAAGGATTTGTACAAGATGCCTCTGCTTGGAAATAGACAGTATTTATGTGAAGGATTCTGGCATAATCCCTATGAAGCATTTGGTTATTATAACGGTTGCTACCTTGTCTGAAACAATCTGATATCTTTAACTCTTCTAATGTCCTACCAGTGTAACCTATATTCTTATGCTCTTGTCCGGACCTGGTTTGATTCAGCTGCAGATAATTTGACAGCAGACCATTTTATGTTTCCTTCGACAGTGATAGGAGTGCTGATGAGTGAAAAAGCAGCGTCAAACTCGTTCATTAATTTATTATCCTGCTGTGCCATTATATTTCAAATAGCATCCACAGTTTATTTCTCCATTCTATATCATCCTTTGAAGTTACTCCATTATCACAGACAGAATCCAGCCCAGCACTTTGGGTTATCATATCAGTGTTCACCTTGGATTTTCTCGTGGACCTGGTTTCCTCATTCCCTGTCTCCATTTTAGTGTGTGTGTGTTTTTCTTTCTCTGCTGTCTCTTCTCAGGATGTGTCCAATATAGCACCAACTTCTCTATTTTGAATTGAGTTTGGTTGAGTCAAGAATTGACATCACAGCACTTGGTGCATTCCCATGTGCGCTCTGTCCCCATCTTCAGCAGCCAGCGCAGAGTTCCAATACTGCTGATACCAGTCATAATCTGTTTAAATGTCCATCTTGCCTTTCCTCTGAGTGTTGTGAGCCAGCCAGACCCTCTGGTTACATCCAGGTGCCTTATTCTCTCCAGCCATAATAACCTTCTTTCTCTATCTTATAACTGTTGGTGCTAGTGGTTGTGTCGGCGCGAATGCTTCGTAATGCCAAGGTGCCGGGTTCGATCCCAGCTGCGGGCTATGTGCCTTGTGTTGGTTTCGACAGTGGTATCAGGGAGCCGACCGTCCAGAAAGCAATGGTAAACTATTGGATGTAAATTTGTCTAGAGAAACCACACAACAGCCAGGGGCTGCTGGGGTTGGCTCTGCAACGTCCTGTAAAGGATACGCAACTAACCTAGTTTGCATGGCAAACCACTGAAAATAAAATTTCCTTATAAAACCACAAGCAGTTAACAATTGCTAGGACTTGATTGCATTACTATTAGTAAAGAACTAAAATGTTCACTGGGTTGGACCATCTTTGATCTCTCGCTATCCTTCTTCCCTGCAGACCCTATCCCTGGTGATTTCTTGTCTTGGTTTTCTGTATTGTATCCTGAGTGTCTGCTCTCACATGCTTGCCTGTGTTTTCCAGTGCTCACAGTTGGTATTTGAAACAGTTTCCAGAGTTGTAAACTGTCTTGCATATCTGAATATTTATCCATGATTTGTTGTGAATCTGCTTGAAGACTGTGAAGATTTCTTCTTCTTGTGTTTTCTTTGATTTGCCCCTAAAAGGGGGACAAGGAATTAAGACAAATATTTAAAAAAAAAGGACTGCAGAAAAGTTGAGAGCTGAGCATCTGAGAGAAGATGCTCTAAGTGCTTGTGATGACAACAGCAGACTTACAATCCAGAGCTCTTCCTGCGATCCAGGGCCCCATGGTGGGGAAATAGGAATAGACCCATTACCTCCCCAACAAGCATGTCAAAAGATTCGACTGATTGGAGGGCTTCCTTCAAAGTCGGAGTACATCTGCCTGAGAGGCAAGGAACCAGCAGTCTGCATACAAAAAAGTCAGATCTGTAAAATGGATGTGCACGCAACATTCAGGTTCTGGAACAAGACCTAAAGTCCAGTAGTGGACAAACAGCCAGAACTTACCACCTAAAGTCCAGTAGTGGACAAACAGCCAGAACTTACCACCTAAAGTCCAGTAGTGGACAAACAGCCAGAACTTACCACCAGAAGTCCAGTAGTGGACAAACAGCCAGAACTTACCACCAGAAGTCCAGTAGTGGACAAACAGCCAGAACTTACCACCAGAAGTCCAGTAGTGGACAAACAGCCAGAACTTACCACCTAAAGTCCAGTAGTGGACAAACAGCCAGAACTTACCACCAGAAGTCCAGTAGTGGACAAACAGCCAGAACTTACCACCAGAAGTCCAGTAGTGGACAAACAGCCAGAACTTACCACCTAAAGTCCAGTAGTGGACAAACAGCCAGAACTTACCACCTAAAGTCCAGTAGTGGACAAACAGCCAGAACTTACCACCAGAAGTCCAGTAGTGGACAAACAGCCAGAACTTACCACCAGAAGTCCAGTAGTGGACAAACAGCCAGAACTTACCACCAGAAGTCCAGTAGTGGACAAACAGCCAGAACTTACCACCAGAAGTCCAGTAGTGGACAAACAGCCAGAACTTACCACCAGAAGTCCAGTAGTGGACAAACAGCCTGAACTTACCACCAGAAGTCCAGTAGTGGACAAACAGCCAGAACTTACCACCAGAAGTCCAGTAGTGGACAAACAGCCAGAACTTACCACCAGAAGTCCAGTAGTGGACAAACAGCCAGAACTTACCACCAGAAGTCCAGTAGTGGACAAACAGCCTGAACTTACCACCTAAAGTCCAGTAGTGGAAAAACAGCCAGAACTTACCACCAGAAGTCCAGTAGTGGACAAACAGCCTGAACTTACCACCTAAAGTCCAGTAGTGGACAAACAGCCAGAACTTACCACCAGATTTGAAGCGGTGAATGCAAAATAGAAGAAATTCCAGAGCTCTAGCTAGTTGTGAAAGTCTTCTCTCAACATGGGTGGGTTTTGCTAGTCACACTCGCCGTTGCCATGGGCTGTGACTCTTATGCTTCCTCCAGATGGACAGCTACCAATTAAAAAGCAACTTACTAATTGGGATTGCATCTGGACTGCTGATTCGTTAGGCAAACACATTAACGACTATGCCATCAAATCTTTTTATACTGACATTGTTTCTTCTTTTACAGGGCAACATAGGTCAGGTTGATCTGTCTGTGGTTTTGTCCGGAGTGAGGCATCTAATGCCGGCCCCTTCAGCTCCTGCTGGGCCAGAACCCAGTGACGAAGCAGCAAAACCTGTGACATTCACACTGGGCTCTGATGGTGATGATGGTCACATAGAAGAGCTTGCGGGCAGAAGCCAGGTATCATCTTCTCCTCCTGTAGTATCTTCTGCTGAGTCTTTAACAGTGCTGCCAGGATCATCAGGTGACCAGTATGATATCCCAGGATCCATCAGTCCTGAGAGTGGTAAAGCTCTAGCTGTTTCAGGTATGTCTAACCAAGAGGTTGAAGTTGAAGGGTCAGGACCTCTGGTCTCTGATGTTGCAGTTTTACCACCGTTTGCCTCCGATGAAGTTGAAGAATCCGGACTAGGTGATGGAAGAACTGAAGCTTTACAGTTATATCCAGAGTTGGCAGAGAAAACTGCGGACAGCAAGGACAGTGAAGATACTCCAGCAGTACCACACACAGATCAGCATCCAGGTGAACAACCATTGGCGGTTTCTGGTCCCCCTGACATGATTGCCCCAGCTGTAGTCTCAGGAGGCTGGGATACCCAGGAGTTTGACCTGGATAATTTAGATGATGTGAATATAGAAGATTCAGGTGCCCTAGTTGATCTGGATCTGCTGCCGACTCCTGAAGAAAATGCCCAAAATTGAAGCAAGTATGCTGCCAAGTATTTTTTTTTTATAGAACTGAGCTATCGTAATGAGCGTTCATTAAAAGCTACAGTTGTGGTAACATGGTATTAGGTTTTACATACTATCCTAACACTGATGTTTGATATTTAGGCCCTGCTCTGTCCCATTGTAAAAATTTGTATGAAATACAACTCTTGGCCTGTTTTCCAGGGCCTCATTTAGGGGTGGGGGAGAATCCACTGCTCGACTAATTAGTAGTTCTGAAATCGTGTTGGGTTGAAAAGTGCAAATATCATAGCCTAGCTACCATACTTTTTTTTTCAGGGGTCTGGGGGGGGGGGGGGGGCATTACTTTACCATTTTAAACCGTGAAGGGGAAAGATAGTGTTGTCACTAAGAGTAATATTAGTTTTTAATGCAACATGAAAAGACAAAGAAGTATAGAAATTGAAAATAAAATATTATTTTTTTTTAACATATATAAATATATATATATATATATATATATATATATATATATATATATATATATATATATATATATATATATATATATATATATATATATATGTATATATATATATATATATATATATATATATGTATATATATATATATATATATATATATATATATATATATATATATTTTTTTTTTTTTTTTTTTTTTTTTTTTTTATGTCGCACAGTAATTTTAGAACTCAACAAGAAGTAAGAAATATTAAAAGAGAAAGAAAGGAAATTAGTGAGTGGAAAATGGTGATAGAAAGACCACAAGGTACTGACTGTATTTCCCTGAAAATCTGAACAGGTTTGATCTTTTTGCTCCTAAAGATGCCTTAATGCTTATTTTCAGTGGATGCCCTTTTTTTTACAGAAATCTAAATTAGTTTTTTATTTAAAACATTAAAAGCGGTAACATTTTTATGTATACATTCTTTACTTTACAATTCGGTGTCCATCATATAGTTTAGCGGTCGAAACCAGATACGTTTATTTGGATGATGACATTATCAAGGTCATGCTAGGAATTATTTTTGAGTTAGGTCTTATTTTGGGGGGAAACACAGTACTTTGCTACTTTAAGCACTTAAACAAGTACCAAAAAAGGAGCATAATTAATGATAATGGTGTAAAATCAATAATACTTTTTTTCTTCACGTTTACCGATTGTTACTCTGGGAGAAAGTTTTGGTTGTTCATCCACATCTGGACTTCAGTCTTGTTCCACAGTCTGAGTGTTGCATGCACATCCATTTTCCATATCTGACTTATTTGTATGCAGATTGTTGGTTTCTTGCCTCTCAGATGCACTTCAACTTTGAAGGAAGCCCTCAGTTAATTGACGCTTAGGACATGCTCGTTGGGGAGACAGTGGGTCTTTTCTTATTTTCCCCACAATGGGGCCCCGGAACGCACACGGGGAAATCCAGAATACAGTATCACTAAACTTTATGTAAACTTTAATTTAGAGGGTTTTTCATGTTGCTTGTTTGGTTCTGATTGCTTTGATCTGTAGATAACATAACATTTGGCTGTGTCCATATTGCAATACATTTATATTTAGTTGTAATTCAAGTGTTTGGCTCTCTCACTCTCTCTCTCTCTCTCTCTCTCTGTCTCTCTCTCTCTCTTTCTGTGTGTGTGTGTATATGCATGCCTGTGTGCGCGCCTGACTGTCTGTTCTGTCTGTCCACTCATCCTGGCACTTCTCTCTTTATCAAGAAGCTATGGCCCATGAAGCTGCTAAAACTGCAGTAGCAATTTAGAAAAGACACTGAAGCAAATCTCTAGAGAGATGCAGCCTCAATTCTCTGTCCACACTGCTCAAGAACTTTCAGTGCTAAAACTGGCCTTATCAGCCATCTGCGCACTCAAATAACCTAATCCAGTCACCATTGAGTGAAAGGACTGGTCATCATCACCTGTGATGGACGGACAACATGAACATTTAGCCACTAATGCTATCGCTGTGGCTAAAGTGATACAATTCAAACAAATTGCCACTTGCAAACTATCCATGGAACTAAACCAATACTCAATAACTCAAGTACTATATAATCTGTTATTGCATGCTTACAAACAAAAATGTACATGTTGTTAGGAGATAAGTTGCAGGTGAATTCACAACAGAGAAGGGAAGGAGCAGGACGTGTCAGTCTGAGCTGCGGGGATTTCAGAAAGAAGACTGCCTTTGGATGCCACTGAAAGTAAACAGCCTGTTGTGCAGGGATGCCAGTCGTTGTGTCTGCCTTGTGCAGGAAGGAGCCATAGCCCACTGCAGGAGATCACGGATTGTGGAGAGGCATGATCACCCACACCAGTGGGCGAGGCACCTGATGATGATGATGACTGGTTTCAGTTCTTATTTCTTCTTTTATTTTAATTGTTTATTTTGTTACTTCATCTAATCTTTTGATGCGGGGTTATTCAACTAAGTTTATTCAAGGGCCATAGTTATGAAAATGGTAATCGTAACAGACCAGAGCCCCAGCATAGAAAGATTATTAACACAATACAGCTGATTTGGCCCAGGGCTGCCAGTTAAAAAGTCCTGTTCTAATACATCTCATCTATGTTGCTAGGATTTTAAGGCTGATTAGTAGTAAAGGTTCGTGTTTAACACTGACATGCAAGTTTATAGAGACAATCCACCTGATGGTCTGATCTGAGCATACGAAACCGACGCAGAGAAAAAGATGTTGGTTCACAGTTGCGAACTGCCGGTTAAGAAAATGGCCAGAGAACTGTTGGTGCAGTATGCAATCAAGTGCGTGTGCAACTGCTGATCAGTTGAAACAGCTGCTTCCATAGGTTGTTTATGTTGGTACTTCTGACGGCTACCTTATGCATTTAATTCGTGTGTATGCTGTTGGCTCTGTTGAGACTGCTGTTTGTGTAAATTCTTCTTTATAAGGAATAGTAGTGGACATTCTGTGTGTGATATTCGTTGGCACATGAATGGAGCAAATATGGGATGACACTTTTGTTATGAAGTCAAAACTGTCATTACCTAATTACTGGTTCTTTGAATGTTGAATTAAGAATCAACATCATAGCGCTCGGGACACTCCCATAAGCACTCTGTCCCGATCTCAAGCAGCAAGCGAAAAGTTTCAGTTCCGATGGTGCCAGTAACTGTCTGGCTGAACATCCGTCTTACATTTTCTTGAGTGTTGAGCGTCGGCCAGATCCTCTAGTAACTCCTTGTAGTGCCATTCTCCTCAGACCCTGATGATCCGTCTGTGCCTTTGCACTGTTCACGCGCCCCCTAAGTAACCTCACATCTAGCTTGTCATACCTCAGTTTACCACCAAGGGAGCCGTGTTAGCACAGTCAATAGGAGTCTCGCTTTCAAATCCAGCTGCGAAATGCCAATGTTCGAAACCGGAGAGTTCCCGGGGTTCACCCAGCCTTTAGGTAATGAGTACCAGAGTTACCACTCTAGGGTAAATTTAGGAATGTTGCTGTAGCTACGGAGTTGCGAGCGGACCATGACACATGCGGACAGTTTTGTTATCAAATGTCCGTACTGGTGGCAGAGCACTTATGGTTTATAACCGTGTGCATTGACGCTGGTTCACATCTCCCGCTCTTACCTTCACCTTTTAGTTTACCACCAAGTGAACTAGTTTTTTGAATGCACCAAGCCAAATTCAGTCCTACTGTTTTCTGAAAACTACAATTAGAAAAACTTCGCACACTCCAACAGATTTGAGGACGTTGTTAAAACACCTGAAAAGATTTTACTATGTGCATAAAAAATTATTTGGCATACGTGAATACTTGTAGATTATCTTGTAACTGTTCTCCGTTATCAGCTGTCATAATGATGTAGATTGGTAATCTGATAATAAACTGCACTGATTGGGGGCATATGTCAGATAATGAGTGGTTATCAGGTGGCTTTTTTCGTCACTTTGTCACTGCTTGAAACTCAAGTTATCACGATTGTCAAACAAATCGTTGATTTTATCGCCACCATGACATGGTTATCATCATCATCATCCTCATCATTACTGAATTTAGCTGCTTTTGTGATACTGAATATTATTTTGTATTTTCACTTGATTTTTTTTTTAAAGTTGGCTATCCCTCTCTCTTTTAATGCCAAGTTAGGGTCTGACAACAAAGGTGTTCAAAAATATATGGGAGTACACAGCCCAGGAGATATGAATCAAAACGGAGAGAGGCTAATTGAACTCTGTGAAATAGCAAATCTAACAGCAGCAAGCTCCTTATTTCCGCATAAAGACATACATAAAACAACCTGGATTTCGCCAGATAACATAACAAAAAACCAGATAGATCATTTTTGCATCAGCGCCAAATTCAGTACATCAGTGCAAGACGTTAGAGCCTACAGGGGAGCTGATATTGGCAGTGATCATAATCTTTGTATTGCCAAACTAAAAATTAAACTCAAGTCTCTACTTAAACCACCCAGAAATAAGAAAATAAACTTACAAGCCCTTTTGTCAAAAGATCATCAAAGCGCATTTAATACAGAGATACTCACCACATATGTAACCAAAACTAATAATGCGGATACTACAAATAACATAGACAAAAATTGGGACTTTTTCAAGAACACACTGACGAACGCTGCAGTAAACACAGTTGGTTATGTACAAAAGCAGAAGAAGAAGTGGCTAAGCGACACTTGGTCAAAAATCCAAGAAAGGAAACAAGCAAAATTAACACTTTTATCCAAAAAAGACACATCTTCATACGAAAAATACAGCACGCTAGACAAAGAAGTGAAATCAAATGCAAGGAAAGACAAACAGAACTTCATACACGACCTCGCCTCTGATGCTGAAACAGCTGCCAAGATTGGAAACAACAAAGCCTTATTCCATATTATGAAACAACTGTGTAATCACTCACCTACACTAAATACACCCATTAAAGACAAGCAGGGTAAACTACTGCTTTCCGACGACCAACAAACAAAGCGATGGGCAGAACATTTCAAAGAAATATTAAATAGGCCAAATCCTGACATCATTCCCAATC